ATGCATCAACGTTAAGACCGACATTCTGATTCAACAAATTTGCATGTTCTATTATACAAAGATGTTCTACCACGCGTCTTTTAAACAAATTTTCCATTTTATACAATATTCTTACAGAGCCTCTATTAATTTTACAATTATAATTAACACAATGTTGATACCATGGTGACTCTTGTCTTTTTAGACGAATCGCTGCCTCGTGTTCTTTTAGGCGTATCTCGAGCTTCCGTCCCGTTTCTCCAACATATGATTTCGCTTGTAAACAATCACATGATACCTTGTAGACCACTCCTGCGACGTCAAGCTGATTTCTTACTGTTTTTCGACCTTTAGTATTTATAATATTAATAACATTCGACATTTTATTTTCCTGCTTGGCCACTACACATACAGAAGACTTTTTAAATAAAGGTTTATATCGTTCATAAAAACTATATATATAAGGCATTTTTACATAAATGTTATTATCTATACAATTTTTAACATTATATCTGTAATTTATAAAAGAATTATACCACTTACAAATTTTATTCTTCGGGTAATCATTCAATAAATATTTTCTAAATAATTGTTTAATTTCTTTATTTATATCTTCATAGAGTGTTGTTCTGTTTAGTATTTTCCTCAATTCCATGGTAAAAACGTTTCTCTTAGTTTCTATAGGGCAATAAGATTTATAACTAATTGTTTTTTCTGTATTACACAATTTTTCATACTTACGGAACACCAATTGCGTTTTCTCACGCTTAATAGTCACATCCAAATAGTGATGGGATGGATAATCCACTGAAGAGGCTGTAACGGCGAAATGCATTTGGAAAGTGATTTGAAAATTATGAAAATAAAAGAATTAACATTGGTTAAAGTAAAGTATTTTTGTTGATTACTATTTGTCCGCTAATATAAATCATTCGAAGTCGGTCTAGGAAAGAGTGTTTTAATTTTACTTTCATTTAATGTCTGTTTCATGAACTGATCTGACTTCCAGAACTTGTTTGAAAATTTCTTTTTGCATTTCTGTTTCGGTACTTGAAGTTTGCATTGCATCATCATTCGGCTCCAATCTCTCATTTCCAATTTCAGTTGTTGATTGTCCGCATTCAAGTGATACTATTACTCTGTCATTACTGCCTTCAAAGTTCAACTGCTACATTTATTGTTATTTTTCAAATAAATAGACAAAAGTTTGAACTTACTTGTAGACTATTTACTTTACCAGACGATACTGTCACTTCGCGCATGCTCTGTTTGGCTATTTTGTAAGCAGACGATATTTTTTTCATGAAAAAAAAGTTTATTTTGATTGTTATCGTACATTTTATTTCTTGTTAAGATAGTATTTAAATTGAAAAAATGTTTTCATAAATAAAATAAAACGTAAAAACATTATTTTATGGTTTGAATTTGTTGGTAATACTGAACACCAGAGGAGTTGGGTTCCGTATTAAAAGCACCAATGGGGTCCATATTTCATATATCCATATGGGGTCCATATTTCATATCATATATTTCATATCTCCATCTTGGGTTAACTTAATTCTTGTCGACACCAAACTTTAAAAACGTGAAAATCACACAGATTAATATGTACCCATAAGTCTCTGGAACGGAATACATGCAGGAAAAAACAAATTTGCTGATTAAATACGGACAACTGTTTAACTGAAGTAAAACGGGTTTCCACTTGCTATGGATGTCTGCCTAGTTCAGTTCAGCCACATTCCGCTACAGTTCGCCTTTATTATCAGTTCGAAATGAGGTGGTTCCATAATACCCGCAGTGTACCATAATACCACCTTCTCCTCTAATAATTTTTTATAACATCACGTTTTTTATTTATATAATTTTTTCATTTTCATATTTATAAATATTAATTTTATAATTTTTAAAACATGAAAAAATAAATATGAATGTGAAACTTATAATTTATAAATATAAAACTACTAGTAAACACATGCGTGTCTGCATAATGAATGTGACCAATAGGAGCGCGACAAGATCTAAGGCTCTAGTCGCTTGTCGACCGAACTCCAAATATTCAGGAAACGAAACCGCTTTGTAATGTTCCACGATTGTAACGATCGATCGATAGTCGATATTTTTCGTTAAAGTAACGATGGCAGCGTTCTTCTAAGTTTTTGACGGATATATATTGTGTCTAAGCATATTGTGTTCTTCGGTAGATCTCCTATCAGAGTGATTTTTGAGATGTCATCACGTCTACGTCACTATAAAGCAATATCAACAACTGCTTGGGAATTCCCATATTTGCAGGAATTTTGGAAATAAATGAGAAAAAAGGAAAAATAGGTGTTGATGTGGGAAATTCGTATTTTCTTTAATTGGGATGCAGAATTATTTTATGATTAGAAGAAATATCTTCTGACTTTTATCTCTGCAATACATTGTGGTATTTTTTTGCTTACGCGTTTCACTAACAAAGGTTTCGCGAACTACAGCTTCATTTCACAGTTTTACAACAGATGATAAATCAGTTGATAGTCGCTGGTAGCAGGGTTTGATTGAAAGCGTGGAAATAAAATAAGTTTCGTCGCTACATCTTAGTTGCTACCTACGTATTGCATAATTGTATTTGTTCTTACTGCTATCAATATATCTGAGTAAGATAAAAAGCATGATACAGTGTATGTAGATACAATACTTAGGGACCGTAGACAAACTACGTGGCCGGTTTTAAAGCGAAGGCGGGATTGAGAGGAGGACTACGTTGTTCCACATGGCTTTTTGTTTTACAAATTCAAAATCTACATCGGTTTAATATGACATTTTAAATTCTGTGGTAATATATCCTGTCTTCCAAAAGAAGCACGTCGGTTTAGAAGGAAGCGTTCGATCAGAAGCAATTTCAGACCACTTAGAGAAGGTAGGGGTTATAAATATTGATTTTTGGGGCTTGTAACAAGATTCTTTGTGTTGGAAAAGTGGCCTAAAAACGCATGCTAAAAGTATAAACCGCATTGATAATGTGAAATATGTTCAGAAGACGCCACAGATTAACAGTGTTTTAAAGACAGCTCAAATTGAAAAGCAACTGGCTCTATAATTTTTTGTAAAACACAATGTAACTCTACAAATAATATTATCTGGTTCTTTTACATGTGTTTATTTGCGCCTCGCATAAACAACTAACCAATTAGAATAAACTCAAATTATCGAGTAGATTTACGAATAAACATCGATGTTTACAATGAATGTTTGGTCATTTGGATAGTCCAATCGATAGTTATTAGAAGATTATCGCTCATCTCTACCGATTGGCCAAAGAAGTAGGCCATTTATTGAAAAGTGCGAAACTACAACTCCCGACCACGCTTACCTTCGCTTGCAGTATGAACGAAATTAGCATCGTTCGTTTCGTTTGCTTTGTTCGCTCGCTCTCTTCGCTTTTTCGGCCTTAGCGTCCAGCGTAAACCACACTTAACATGCGTATGTATAGAATAGGCTAAGTATTTTGCCTTTATAGACGTTTTAAGGTACCTTGAGTAAAAAATGTAAAATTCGTGGGGGTAATTTTTTCCTTCTTTTATATACATACGGGGAAAATAAAATCGCTAGGTTATTTACTGGGCTCGGTAAACTTTTCGAAATGTCTCACATAAAACGCAAATGTATTATTCAGCTATTATGCAAAGGTTAACCACTAGGCTGGTGTACGCGCTTCTCGCATTCGGAGATTGTTTCGATGATATTTTTAATCGATCATTTTATAATACATTGGGATAAATCGTAACTGAATTACTTTCTGTTTATAAAAACATTGATAATTTTTCTTCTCACCCTATACGCTGATGAAGCCACATTTGAACCATACAAATACTGAAAAACAAATAAGGATCAAATGGGCAAGCACAGTATAAAACGAAAACATCATACCGCGATAAAAACCAGAGCGTGAAGTGAGAAACTATCTTTCGTGAACGAGTTTCTTTTGCGAGTGCGATATCACTAAGCTTCTCGCTAGCTACTATTCTGTAATGTGCATGGCCGTGTCTTTAAAACACATCGCTCGAAAAAAAATCATTTTATTTGGATATACTTAAACAAAAAGTATTATTTCGTAAATTATAATGTCCTATACATTACATAAGATGTTTTGGTCACAGAATTTCATGAAATTTCAATATTTTAATTGAAATGAATTTATTCAGTGTACAGTTTAAGTGATGATTCCGACAATCTTTAATAAAATCTTTATTTCTTTTTATTTGAAACAAAAGGAAACAATTATTATACTAATCACAATAGAAAATGCTACTGAATGTAGATAAAATATTCTTATTCTTTTTTGTATGCCGTTTCAAATGTCGTATAAATTTATGTCATGATTTGTACGACATTAAATAATATTATTTAATTATGTATTATTTTTTCTATAACAATATTTAAAGAAAAATTTATTGCTAAAGTTCGAACTAATATAATATTGATTTTGTCTCCAAATCCACAAAATAGTTATTGCATATTTGAAAATATGATTGGATTGCCGAGCTGCTAAGGTCGCAGCCTACCGCTCTGGGAGTCCGTAATCGAATCTGAATGGGTGGAAAACTCAGGAATTTTCGTGATGTGACACCGCCGGATATGTCGGGCTTCCTTTCCATAATTCATTCGGCTCCCGCCATGTGGACCAGGCCAAATCCAATTTGAGTTTGCAAAAAAAAAAAAGAAAAAAAAGATGCACAGGACATAATCAAAAATTAAATAAAAACAAGAAAAACACATTTTAAATACTTTCTATTTAAATTTATTGTAAGACAAAATAAACTGGAATAAGATATACAGTATAATTCCTAGTTTTTGTACAGTACATTAAATGTCATTTATTTGAGGAATATTTCTAACATTAAATGTGAATTTTAACAGTTATAACTATCTAATTCTTTAAATATCTTCAAGTAAACAATTGGTATATATTATTTACTCATTTTCATTTTAAAGAGATAAATATATCATTTTCAATTATGATTACATTATAATGCTTAATCACGTTTCTTTTTTGAACGAGATTTAATGTAAGAATTATAAAACAGGTAACTAAATAAGAATAAATATGATAAATATATCACGAAAACCGTTTCGAGAACATCTTTAGGAGTGTCACATTCATAATTATTTACGTGAAGCCAATATACCCAGAATGAAAGAAGAACACCGAATAACATCTGTAATGTTTGAATGGCCGTGATGAACATTGCGAATTTAACAGGAATCTTCACTTCGATTGATTTTAGAGCAAAATAACTGTACATAAACGAATGCACGAAAACATTTGTATAGCTTATTAAAGTTCCGAAAGATGCTTCCCTATACACACCGTGCCACATTCCGATTAAAGTTGCCACATGGTGATACCAATGCAGAAACATCAGATTTCTTTTTCTCAGTACAATTAGAACAGTATCTCCCAATTCCCATACTTTTGAAAACAGAAATAATGTACCCCAAAATATGAACTGTGGAGATTGTTCCGTAAGCATCTTATCACAAACGATATGATAAAACGTGTAATGACTAAATGCAAACAGAATTATTGAAAATACTCTTACAGTCGCAATGATACTAAATAGAGCGAGGATCCCATTCCAAACGATGGAAGCACGCTTGAGCTCGAAGGCAGGTCTGGTCTTCATGTATTCACGAAGAAAGTAGATGGTTATCAGGTAGATGGTAGCAATGTAGACTGAATAATGCCAATAATTCCGATAGAATCGTTTCACATCTTCTTTATCGATAATAGTTTCGAATTGAAAAGGAGCTGGAAGCGGTTCGCTTAAATTTATCGCTTTCATCTTGAGTTTGTGTTCTGGAAAAAAAGCTGTTATAATACAGTATATAAAATATACTAAAATAATAATATTCGTTTAAAAATAAATAAATAAATATTAAAAATAATATTTTATTTGCAGTAACTATAAACTGTAATAAATTAATAAATTTCTTAGAAATATTTCAAATGTAAGGTCAAAAATATTTTATCAATCTGTTTGACTTTATGCCTTAATCGTATATACCCACGAGGCCAAACTGCGACTCTTCCACACCCTATACTTGTACAATTTCTATTTATAGATGTCAGCTACTTACACATGAGTAATATTTTCGAAGTTTGCTGACTTATGTAGTGTTATACACAAAAATTGTAAGCGTAACTTGTCATTGGAACAGGCAATTGAAAGCTTATGATCCACAATTTTAAACGGTATTCCAACTAAACCCACAAATCTACTAGTAAACGGGGAAACATTAGTTTGCATTTAGATAAAATGTAAAGAAATTCATTTATAATAAATCTATTTCGTGAAAATTTGTAGATAGGTTTTCTTACAAATGTATTCAAACTTAAACCTTCTTAACCTAACATAATAGTGATATTTACTATAAAATAGTGATAACCACAATATTGTAACACCGTACCAATAGAGTTGCTGTTCTAGACTTTTTGATTGGTAACATACTGTATTGTGCGTCATATTGTAAGACTTGCCGATTGTTCGTGATTGTCGGGACGGTCGAGGGGTCGAGATAATCGCATGCGGGCATGAAATTAGCACTGAGACAAGTTTACCATTTTTATCCATTTAATAAAAATGTTTAACGGTTTTCTTACAAATGTTTCTACGTCTCCGTCGACACAAATTTACAAGGATAGAGTCTGGTAAAATCACAAATATCCCCAAATTGTCTTCCTTGGTTTCTCGGTTACTATCGGCAGATTCGAATGCCCCTGGCATCCTGGAGCTTGGAAAAAATTGTCCTTGTCGCAGGGATGAATTTTGAAGAGCACGAACAACTCCGGAAGATCGAACGTCTCGCGGAGATAGATAAAAGGTCGAACAGCAGATTTATATGAGAAAACAAAATGTTTGGAGCAAAGAACAAAGAACGTCGAGTGCTTGAAACGCGCGTTTTTATAGATTATTTCCTTCTGTTTTGTGTACCGATTGGTTTCTCCTCGTCATTCGAAACCTTTGGGGACACGGGGAAGTCTGTTTCTAGACTAAACCCGAGTTTCGTTCATCTAAAATTTCTTTGACTTTGATATTCTCTTCGCGATTCAAATAATTTATTTTCGTTTTATTGGAAGATAGTTAAACAATAAAATATTGTTTAAGCTAGACTTAAGTCTTGCTTTGTTTAATTCTGAATGATGAAAGCTTAACTAACTCGCTAGTTTTTCAACACTCGAAACATAAAAGTTCGAAGTTTTGGGACCTGAGAATATTGGTGTTCATTATCAAGCCTTGTCAGTATAGGAGTCATATATTGTACTCGTACTTAATTAATCTCACAATAGTTTAAAAAATAATATACGCTAAGAATAACAATCCACTGTTTTTACTTTTAAAATTGTATACGATAAATCAAAGATTAGAGAGAAACCATATTTTGAAATTTATCTAACCCACTTTTCTTTTTTGGGGGGTAAAACTCATGTCGACCGTCAAAATTAGGCTTTTTACTATTTTATAATAATTAATGGCATGAGATTTTGTTAAAAATAGCTTTTATAACAGATGACCCCCTCAGTCAATTTAAATTTTATTCATTACGTTAGTTACGCAACTCATTGCTGAATTTTTTTTAATTTTTAATTTATGACGTGTCAAAACATCAAATGTATGAAAATTTTGTCGCTCAAATTTCGACGACTTACTATACTTTTCCATATGCAACTCCAAATGATAATTATCCAATGTATTTCTATATAATATTTAAATAACGAATTTTTAGTAGGTAATTTATGTGAGCCGCCGGGGAGGTGGGTAAAGCCTCTCCGATATAGCCACAGGTCGGTGACCTACTTTCTTGTCAAGGATGACGTTACGTTCAGTTACGCATTGTGCGAGTGGAGGAGAGTCAGAGGGGTCGACGATAAGACGATGTACAGTCGAGTAAAAAACACCATTCTAAACAAAACAGAAGTTTATTTTACTGACCAACGAAATTAAAGATTACACGACTCCTTCTAATACGCGTACGAGAGAGAGAGAGAGAGTTTACAATCAAGCTTCATACCTCCTGAGAGTCAATCAGGGTGATATTTCTCCAGCAAAGTCGGTAAATTGGTACAGGTCCGATGGGTTCGGGATAGGTTTGACGAGATGGCCAGATTAGACGGCTTCTCATGCACTTCGATCGACTTCTGATCAGCGACTCCCCCGAGAGGGGAAGAAGGATGTCTTTTATACTTTTTTTTCTATGAGAGAATTAGTCAGGTGACCAATTGTTTTAGCAGGTGTGGGGTTAAAGGTGGCCCCGTGCTGCAATAAATCGTCGAAGTTGGACTTTAACCGTAAACATTAAGTCTTGTAGCAGACGAATGCTATTGTTAGATGATCGAATGTTTACGTTAAAGGAGAAAATTGTAAGTTGATACTTGATATGTTTATATAAGTGAGATAGTTGATTTCTTTTCTCTTACGAGGGTTTTTTTCACAGTAAGGTGATAAATTTATTCAATTTATATAAATTTATATAAAATAAATAAAATTAAAATAATAATATATTTAAATAATNATGAACATTTTGTCGCTCAAATTTCGACGACTTACTATACTTTCCATATACGACTCCAAATGATAAATATTCAATGTATCCCTATATAATATTTAAATAACGAATTTCCAGTAGGTAATTTAAGTATTTAGATATTTTTATTTATATTTTCAGCGAAATAAAATAGAGGAAGATCATAAAAATCAATATTCTAAGAAATTTAAGAATATAATTTCGATAACATTATATTAATTTAAATTTTTATACGAGTGTTTTTGGTGAAACGTAATTAAAATAAGTAGGAATATAATTGTATAAATTCAATAAATAAGAATTATGTGATCGGTATATTCAATAACACTAAAAATAAAAATATTTTTAGTTAAAAACAAGTAAAAAATACTCGATCTACTTCTGACTTCAAGGACAATGCGAGTTAAAAAGTCAAACAAATGGCGAGAAACAAACTTCTTCAATTAATTTCAGTCTGTTTCGTGTTATATTATTAGGGACACTTGGAGTAGGAGAAACGGATTTGAGTGAATGTAGTTTCAACTGAGTTTGTAAATTTCGTTTTTATGATTCCATATATTATTATGATTATTATGTGGGTTTAACTTGTAATTCAAACAAGGAAGTTTTTCTGGTGCCAAGGTTATACCGTAGTTGTGTGATTTAGATTCGATTCTTTCAAATATATTTAGTTCGTATGGAATTTTAAAATAATCTTAAAAACAAAGATAGTATGATGAATAATAACATTGGCCAAAAACTACATGAAACTTGGTATCCATACTTGATTAAGAGAATCCGCGAGGGAGGAGGGGAGTGGATAATTAATGTTTTCGTTATCTGTGCATCCTTCCATACGGTACCCAGTAGGGTGCTCATACGTCTCATTTCCACTTCCTCCTCACCTTTTAAATTTTCTTAAGCCCTCAAAAAAAACGCTTTTTCGACCCCCCTTTCTTAACACCATTCACACCCACTGTCTCTCCCCTACCTCAAGACGATTCCTTTCTGTTGTATACTGTTAACCTTTCCCATTTACATATTGTGTATCACCACATCGTGCACAACTCTACTGTAAGTTAAAACAATTTTCTTAAGTTTTTTTCTATTTTACGGTGCTCTTTCTTCACTCCATCATTCTGCCGTTCTCAAAATGTTTTCTATTGATCTTACCGTAATCAAGGTTACGTGTTTCCCAAATTTTATAGTCTTGCCTCTGCACTGCACCATATATAATGGGGTGTTTTACAACACTATGTACCATACCGTTATGTTTGCAGTAAGTCCAAACTTTTTACATATATGTAGTATGTTTTCCCTTTTGTAAATCATTTTCCAATTTATCATTGTTTTTTAGCTTATAGCCTAAATGTTAACCATAACCATCCATATTTTATCTAATGTCACAACTAGGTATTGTATACCGGTTTACCGATTTACCGGTTAACCGATAAATTGACAAATAAACATTCGGTAAATGAAAAATTCATACTAGAAATTTTTATGTAGAAAATATTGTGTTTATAGATATTTAAAAAGGCTAAAGGGACATTGAAAAAAAATAAAAATATAAAAAGTAAATAAGTGTAAGCAACAATATACCTAATTATTAATTTTATGTGAGATATGTTATGTTTAATTTTAATTTAAACTTTCTTGGGTTTGAGAAGCGCTGTAAATTGTACAGAAAGCTCTAGTTAGCATATGTGATTTGTGCTCTGCCGTTTTTTGAGATTTTTAAAGGTTTAAAATCTTTGCAATCAACGTTTTTCTTAAAGAGTAAGTAAATATCTTTTTTTTTAATATTTAAGAATAATAATACGTAAATATTTCACGTATTTTTTAAATTAATAGCAATTTCGAATACACCACATTATGACAAGACATTAATACAATATTACTGCAAAATAAGATTAAAATTTGTACCTTAAATAAATTTTTTACTTCTAACAACTATTTAAAATAATTAAATACAAATATTTATTACAAGATTCTAACATTATGCCTTAAGATTGAGCAAAATATGTATTATTCTAACTTTATTTTCGCGGGGAATCCCCATTACTCTCAAGAAAAGAACTTTCTTTAATTTTAGTGTAGAACCAGGTGGAACATGTTAGAAAGATTTTTATTACTTAAAGATGCTATCCAAAAAATTCTAGAAACCTAACCTAACCTAACCTGGATTATTTTGTACAAAAATTAGATCAAAATTAGGAAATAAGACTTTAAATGATTTAAGTTTCTTGAGAAGTTATTTTAAAAAAAATGGTAATCAATAAAATGGTACTGTATCAAGTCCCGGTTAACGAACTTAATCCGTTCCGCGACTCCGTTCGTTAACTGAATTGTTCGTTAACCGAAGCAATTTTTCCCATAGAAATTAATGCAAATGCAATTAATCCGTTCTAGTCTCCGAAATTTTTGTCATTTTATTTGAAATATACAGTAATTTTCTTTGATGAAAACGTAGGAAAACGTAGTATCTATTATTACAGCAACAAACATGTAAACTTTGTTTAATGATACCTTCGTTTGTTGTAGTTGGTGGCAGAAAAGTGAAGATATACGAACTTTAATGCTTAGAAGGGGAATCCCCTCCAAAAAAATAACGGGTAGCACTTCATCGCAAGATTCTTCGAGTCGAAGTCTCTTTCGGTAAAAACCCACCAGTGGCTAAGTGGTCTTCGTACCTTGAACACGGGGAGTTCGTTTGTGGGTTCGCACCTCGCTCACACGGGCTGGCCACGTGGATTTTTCCGGGATTTTTCCACATCTGTAACGCCTAAATAGGGGCCAGTTTCCCTTAAAAACACCTCCCAGAAGGCATTCCCTTTAGTCAGATCGCCCAAGTGTTGCGTTGCCATAACTTAACAAAGAAACAAACTCTTTCCGTAAAGAACAAGCAATTGATCTAAAGTTGATTGTCTTACTCTTTTCATCAGAATTTTTCTCAAATGCGATAGCGCATTGTCGTTTTCTATTGCCACTATGACTTTTTTCTTTCTTTGATGCCATATTGATTAAATATATAAATCACAAAACTGAAAAAAAAAGTATACCACAAACACTCGGAAAAGCAATGCTTAACTCTCGCATGCCTAACATCAACTAAAATTTGACACTAAATACCGTTACGTTCGTTATCCGAATTTTGTTCGTTATCTGAGACAAAATTTTTGCAAAATAAAAGTTCGTTAACCGATTTGGTCGTTAACCAGGACGTTCGTTAACCGGGGTTCCACTGTACTTNNNNTATATACAGTGGAACCCCGGTTAACGAACTTAATCCGTTCCGCGACTCCGTTCGTTAACTGAATTGTTCGTTAACCGAAGCAATTTTTCCCATAGAAATTAATGCAAATGCAATTAATCCGTTCTAGTCTCCGAAATTTTTGTCATTTTATTTGAAATATACAGTAATTTTCTTTGATGAAAACGTAGGAAAACGTAGTATCTATTATTACAGCAACAAACATGTAAACTTTGTTTAATGATACCTTCGTTTGTTGTAGTTGGTGGCAGAAAAGTGAAGATATACGAACTTTAATGCTTAGAAGGGGAATCCCCTCCAAAAAAATAACGGGTAGCACTTCATCGCAAGATTCTTCGAGTCGAAGTCTCTTTCGGTAAAAACCCACCAGTGGCTAAGTGGTCTTCGTACCTTGAACACGGGGAGTTCGTTTGTGGGTTCGCACCTCGCTCACACGGGCTGGCCACGTGGATTTTTCCGGGATTTTTCCACATCTGTAACGCCTAAATAGGGGCCAGTTTCCCTTAAAAACACCTCCCAGAAGGCATTCCCTTTAGTCAGATCGCCCAAGTGTTGCGTTGCCATAACTTAACAAAGAAACAAACTCTTTCCGTAAAGAACAAGCAATTGATCTAAAGTTGATTGTCTTACTCTTTTCATCAGAATTTTTCTCAAATGCGATAGCGCATTGTCGTTTTCTATTGCCACTATGACTTTTTTCTTTCTTTGATGCCATATTGATTAAATATATAAATCACAAAACTGAAAAAAAAAGTATACCACAAACACTCGGAAAAGCAATGCTTAACTCTCGCATGCCTAACATCAACTAAAATTTGACACTAAATACCGTTACGTTCGTTATCCGAATTTTGTTCGTTATCTGAGACAAAATTTTTGCAAAATAAAAGTTCGTTAACCGATTTGGTCGTTAACCAGGACGTTCGTTAACCGGGGTTCCACTGTACTTATTTTTTATCACCTTAATTTTATTTTTCAGGAAAAAAATTTACCGGTAAACCGGTATTTTAATTTTCATTTAACGAATTACCGGTAAATGAAAAAGTCGGTAAATTTATAATCCCTAGTCACAACTTCTGCATTTCTCATAACCCATGTAAGTCTCCTGTTTTTCTTTTAGAAATCTGTAGAATCACGATGTATTTTGTGCAAACTTGTATACATTATTGTAATTTGAATGTAAATTTTTTTTCCTATATAGTTGCAACACAGAGTTAAAAAGGGACATAATTGTCTGAAATGCATTCTCAAAGGAATAAAAAGATTTTCTAAAGTTTGTCCTCCTTTTACTGACGGTATAATAAGTAGCGCTCGTATAAGGAATGTACAGACAACAGACAGGCAGAGATTCTATTTTATGTGTTAAATAGACAAAATAAAAAGACACATTTGGCTTATCAAAGAGACATACATTCATGGCAAAACGAATACCACTGCTGAAATCAGACAAAATGAAGTTTTTATAAAAACTTCACTTTTCTTATTACAGAGATAATCAATTAATAATAAAAACTAGAAGCTTGTAGATACTTTAAAGTCCTTTG